AACTTCAAGTTTAGGAAGAAACATACTATCCATCAGATGACTAGAAATCACTACAGGTCCACAAGAAATATTGGAAAGCAAGAAAATACCTCTTCTCCAAGGGAAAAGAATAGCTCCTTTTCATCCACCAACAGTTCAATGGAAATCATGGAAATGTCTGATAAACAATTTAGAATATTCATAATGGTAAAGCTAACAGAGATGGAAGAGAGGAGAAACAATGAACTGCAGAAGAGGAAGGAGAAAAGAACTGATGAGTTCCAGGAGGTGAGGAAATTCTTGCAAGATCTAAAAGAATTACACACTTAAAAGAAGAATCAAATAGACCTGTTAGAGATGAAGGCTATAATACAGGAAGTCAAAATCTTCCTTGAAAGTATCAAAAGCATACTAAATCATACAGAAAATAGAATCTCAGACACAGAAAATTGCTGGCCTAGAAAAATTTACCACGAAGACTGAGAAAATTGCCCAAAAAATGAGAATAATATACGAGAAATATTAGATACCATCAAATGTCCAAACATCCAGATAATTGGTATCCCAGAAGGTGAAGAGACTCATAAGGGCACTGATAATCTATTTCACAAAATCCTGCAAGAAAATTTTCCAAAAAGAGTGGGAAAACATATTCAAAGTGTTAAAGGAAAAGCGATTTCAACCAAGAATACTGTACCTGGCAAGATTTTCCTTCATATGAGAAGAAAAGACAAGAATGTTCTCAGATAAAACCTGAAAGAATTTACCAGCACCAGACTAGATCTCCAAGAAGTTCTCAAGGGAGTTCTATACCAGGAAAATTAAATACAGACACACAAAAATAAGTGTTCAAAAACTAAGAAAATGGCCAACTTAATCATAGGGACAAGTCTGGAGTTGAATATTACATCCCAGAATTCAACTGGGAAGATCAAACCACAACAGAAGATAGATTAAGTACATGAGATTGAACTGGTGAAATACCATTTTATGACTTTTGACTAAAATATTACTGATTTTCTTTTAGGATTTGTTGTCCAGTTTTAAAGATTTTTGTCCTGTCTTGAGCTGTTGATAGGTTCATGTACCTACTATTTGAACAGAATTCTAACCTGTTTCCTGGCTTTAAGTTTTAAGCAAAGTTCCTTAGCATTTCTTTGATTTATTAAAGTTAAAACTGCTTTTTTTGAAATTACCCGTTGAACTTGCTATTGAAAGTAGTTAGATTATTTAAGAAATTGTGTGATCAATAAAATGTGGGTAGGAAAGGAATGGAAGACAACTGTAGACACCAGAGATAGTGTAAGAAGAGGGTGGGAAAGGGCAGAGAGTCAGAAATAGGTATATATATATATGTTGTCTATATATACATATAGACAATAAGGTTGAGGAGGTTTCAGAGGAAAATGAGGATTATCTCACTGGAAATTGGAGAAAAGGTCATACACATTATACGATAGCAAAAAATCTGGCTGTAAAATGTCCATGTCCTAAAGTTTTGTTGTATTTTGAACTTAAGAGTGATAAAGCAGGGCTGGCCCTGTGGCCTAATGGTTAAGGGAGTTGGATCTCATATGGCTGACAGTTCAAATCTTGGTCCTGGTGGTTTGACATACATGCCAGACGTGTGTGTGCACATGCTTAAAATCCTGACAGAATGGAGAAACGGAGACGGGATTGCAGTGTGACCATGTTCCATTGTGGGTGTTTTATCTCTCTCCCTCTATCTCTCTCTGGTGAGTACATGTGACCTCTGGTAATTAATTTTCTTTTTTTTACTGGCCCTGTGGCTATACGGTGCGTGTGCTCGCCAGACAGACAGAGAGAGACAGACAGCGAGAAATCAACCCCCAGGGGGGATGGCCACGCCACAATCCCTTCTCCTCCATTCTCCTCGCAGGACCTTGGACACGCATGCACATGTACCCGGCGTGAGTTTAAGCCACCGGGTCCGGGACTCAAACCACAGTAGACTATGTGGGGGGTCAGCGACATAGCCATTACACTAACTGCTGGTCCCTGGTAATTTTTTTAAGGGACCAGCAGATGGAGTAATGGTTACATTGCTAGACTCCCACGTAGTTGATCGTGGTTTGACTCCTGGACCCAGAGGCTTAAACTCACATCAGGCACGTGTGCATGCGTGTCCAAGGTCCTGAGAGGAGATTGGAGGAGAAGGGATTGCGGTATGGCCATCCCTCTTGGGGGGTGATTTCTCACTTTCTGTCTCTCTGTCTCTCCAGTGAGTGCACACACAAAATATTTTTTTTAAAGTGCAATAAAGATGTAGCAAATGAAATTTCAAGGCAAAATATAGAAGGAACTTCATGGTTACTGCTAACTGCATTTAGTGAAATGAAAGTGGAATGAAATGATTAAATATGGAACTTAAAACAAAAAGAAACCAAAACAAAAAACATGTTTTTTTTTTTTTTCTTTGTCACTGGACATGTGACAAAGAATAAAAAACACATGGTGCAGAGAACAGGTTTGCCAAAAGACTAGTGGCTAAAGAGATAAGTGCTGATGAAAGAGATACGAAAGCTAAGAAGCAAGAAAATGGGAGAAATGTCCCTAGGGTCAGAGATCTTCAGGATTACTTCATCCATTAGTAGCTAAGAGGCCTAGGAGCACAAAATGGTTTCTAGGAAAAATGGTTTCATCTTGCATGTTTAAACCTTTGATTCATTGGAAGTTATCCTGGTAGACAGATGGGTGATAATTAAGTGTAAAATAGACCATATCTTTCCTTTGCTTAAAATCTTTCAGTAGCTTTCTATTACTCATAAGATCAAAACTCAGATTCTTTTTTTAAGAATTATTTAATTTTATTATTATGTTTTAAAATTTGACATAGGGCATGTGCACTCACCAGAGAGAGAGAAAAAGAGAGAGAAAGGGAGAAGGCAAGTTGCCAAGTCCAGAACTCAAACTGCTATTGGCCATGTGGAAGTCCAGTGCCTTAACCACCGTTCCACCTGCTGGTCCAAAATCTCATTTTTTTTTTTAAAGATATTTTTGCTATAGGGAACATGTGCTTGTCAGAGAGACAGAGACAGACAGAGAGATGAGAAAATGAGAAATCCCTCCCCCACCTGGGGTGATGGTCATAGCACAATCCTTTCTTCTATTCTCTTGGGATTTTGGGCATGCACACACGTGTGCCCAGTATGAGTTTCAAGCCTGTAGGTCTGAGATTTAAAAGATGAGTGGCTATGTGGGAGTCCAGCGAAGTAACCATCACACCACTGCTGGTCCCCAAATTTCAAATTTTTAACAGTTCTATAAATTCCAGTGTAATCTGGCCTTCTTGCTTCTGTGAAGTCATTATGTAACATCTTTTACCTTACTATCTGGGTCTCATTGAGTTGTTTTTAATTCTTTTTTTTTTTTTTTTGAGAGAGAGATATTTTGTTGTAGGGCATGTGTGCTTGCTGGAGAGAGAGAGACAGACAGAAAGATAGAAAGTGAGAAATCACCTTCTAGGAGGGATGACCATGCTGTAAACCCTTATTCTCCATTCTCCTCTTGGGATTTTGGGCATGGACACACATGTGCCCAGCATGAGTTTTAAGCCATCTGGTCCAGGACTCGAATCATGAGTCCATATGGAAGTCCAGTGCCTTAACCACCACTCCCCTGCTGGCCCAAGTTTTTTTTTTTTTTTTTAATTGTTTAAGCTAGTTATGCATGTCCTTTATCTTACTCTCTAGATCTCACTGTTTTTTTTTCCAGTTCTTTAAGCTAGTTATGATTATTATAATTTTCTATATTTAAAAAAAATTTCATTTTCTTATTTTTTTTAATTGCCAGAGTGTATGTGTTCATGAGCGAGAGAGACCCCCCCAATAGGGTGTGGCCACGCTGCAATCCTTTTTCCTACATTTCTCCTTATCATAAAGATTTTAGACATGCATGTACATGTGTTTGGCTTGTTTTTCAAGTCAAAAGAGCTGGGATTTTAACCCTAGATGGCCACGTGAGATCCAGCTCCCAATGCACAGTGCTTAATCACTATGCTATGGGGCTGGTTCAGTTATGCTTATTAAAGTCTCAAAATTTTGCATAAGCTTTTCCAGAACCAAACTTAAATCTCCCTGGAGTATACTCTTAAGTCACTCAGGGCTGCTTCTTTGTAGCACCAATGAACTATAATTAATTATCTGTGTAATTATACATTCAATGGTTATCTTCCCTGCTAGATTAAAAACTTCATGAATACAGATATCCTAGGGCTTCTTGTTTACTAATACAGTCAGTGTTCCCAAGCACAATGGCTACAACATAGCAGGTTTACAAATATTTGTCAAATGAATGTAAAAGTGAAAAATAGCAAGGTTTAATTAATTTTTTTTTTAAACTGTCACCAGGCAGATGTGCCAGCTAGGGGTGTGGAGAAAGGGTGGGAGAGAGAGAGAGAGAACCCTGTAATGAGGCAATGTTATGACATAATCCCTTTCCCTTCATTCCTCCTTCATGTCAGGATTTTGGGCATGCATGCACATGTCCTGTGTATTTTTTAAGACACAAGAACTAGGACTCCAACCACAGTTGGCCACTGGATTTGGTTCCCTTAACCACTGTGCTATGGGGCAAGCCCTGACAATTCTTTTGAAAAGATGAACTACTTTTTTCTGATTACTAATTCACCAAATAATCTCTAATCTATAATTTATTCTGTTGAAAAAGCCATACAATAATCAGGAAGGAAATACCTTATGTAAATAACTGATACCAGGTATTCCATCAGTCATAAATCCTCTTATGAATTAAAGAACTGTGTTTTGGTTTATAAATTAGTCTTTTATGAATAAGGTTAGGGAGACTCAATCTCTAAACCTTAACTTATGCTGGTAGAGCACAAAATTGGCCTCTAAAACAAAGACCAGGCTTAAGCCTTGTAACTACTTATTTCTTTGATCTTATGAGTTAGAATCAATAGTCAATACTCAGGTTAGCAGCTTGTGAACCCATACTGCTCTCCTGACAAACAGGCATTGAAACCACCAAGTATAACTCACCTCTTGAAAGTTATGTTGAGTGAACTTGTCTGCTATCCTTAGCAACTCACGACATGAATGTGTATCAGCAAAAGCCCGGATGCCCAGGCAGTTAGAAGGATCTAATTGTCTCTTCAAGAATTCACAGCAGGCTTCCTGTATTTCTGCCAGCTGGAGGAGGCAAGCAGCTGGCAGAAGGGTCTGAACATTGCCCTCTTCTACAGTGATCTGGGAGGTATAGGCAAAGTCAATCAGTAGTTCCATAGCCCTCTCATCTATGTCTCGGATTACTACTTCTGTCTGACGGCTTTCTGCCAATTCTCCTGTAAACATAGCTCGGAAGTAAGGACTACAGGCTGACAAAATGACTCGATGGGCGTAGATCTTCTTAGCACCCACTACCAGTACCACATCGCATAGCTCCCGGTGCTTTCTCAGAAGGTTGATCACTTCCAAGGTCTGTCGCGGGTGCTTGTCTGAGATATAGGGCATGCGGGCAGGTTGGGGAACCCCTTCTGGCAGTTTGTTGGGGTCTCCAAGAGTGCAGCGACTTGTTACATCCATTCCAGTCTCTCCTGGTCGAAGGTTGGTACACCTACAGCAACAAGGCAGATGGAGAGAAGATGGCAATGTCATTAGAAACTCACTTCTGCCCTAACATGGTCATAAGTCAAGATACAGGGAAACCTGCAATTACCAAAAAAGTGAACCAGATCCCAAAGAACTCCTTTAAGACCTCGAGAACTCATAAACTTCCTTAGGTCTCCTGAAGGATGAACAGTATTAATTTCAAGTCAAAGCACTTCCCCTGTATACTCTCATAAAATAAGGGGCAATTCTTTTTTTCAAACCAGAAGTAACCAGATTGTCTTGGACCATCTCTCTTTCTCTTTTTAATATTTACCTATTTATTCGTTGTGATTTTCAAGCCCCTGGGTCCAGGACTCGAACTGTGGTCATCTATGTGGGAATTCAGTGCCTTAACCACCATACCAACTGCTGGCCCTGGACCATATCTCTTAAAGCATTAACATAAATTTACAAAAAATACTGTAAGTGATTCTCTCTGCACACACACACACACACACACACACACACACACACACACAAAACAAAAAACCTTTGATCTTTAGTCCTAAATCTGGTTTAACCAAATTTTGACACTTGCTGTTTTTCTAAAACAGGTGATGTTTATTTTTCATTTTTCACTGGGTGATGCTTCATATTTTTCTTTTTCTTTTTTTGGAGAGATTTTCACTGTAGGGCGCGTGCGCTCGCCAGACAGAGAGAGACATAGAGACAGAAAGCGAGAAATCACCCCCCGGGGGGGATGGTCACGCCGCAATCCCTTCTCCTCCATTCTCCTCTCGGGATCTTGGGCACGCACGCACACGTGCCCGGTGTGAGTTTTAAGCCACCGGGTCCGGGACACGAACCGCGGTCGACTACGTGGGAGTCCAGCGACATAGCCATTACGCTAACTGCTGGTTCCCCATATTTTTCTTTTTTGAGAATATGTTGCTTTATATTTTTCTAAGGTTCACTGGGTGATAATTTATATTTTTCAACAAAATCTGTAAACTATAGCTCATGTTGCATGAAAAACTCAGGAAGAAAAAAGGCTAAGATACAAAAAAAAAAACTTTATATTTAATACTGTATTTCCTTGATTCTAAGATACATACATTTCATAGTTAAATATTTAATAAAAATTGGAAATCATCTAAAGTCAATGTCTTAGAAGCTTGCCAGCTACCAGGTAGCAAAGTTGTGACCACCTCATGTTTTCATCACCTCATGTGAGAATTTTAGCCAGACTTCTTAAAACAGATATAGAAATATTTTTGAAAGCAAGAGAGGACAATGTCAGGTTCCACATGACAAGCTTGGTTGGAATCCCTGGCCTAAGTCAGTGTGAAACACGCAGGGCATGCATATGAGTGCTCAAGATCCAATGGGCTGGGTGACTAAAGGAAGGGGATCACAGTGTAACAAGACCCCGTGGAGGGTGCTCAGCTCTTTCTCTCTCATGTGCACACATATGCATTCTATCATAAACCAAAAGAAATAAATAAAAAGGGATCTTAAAAAAAGTACAGAGAATATCCATAAATTACTCAAGTTAGATGAACACTGCCTTATACAGATATATGTGTCTATAAATTTATGAAATGTTATTTCCTACAAGTCTTAAAATATGAGAAAACTGCCCTTCCTTGCTTAGTATAACCTATTACCCTGCTTTAAGAGTGAATATCTAGATTTGGGGTCATTGAGCATAATGTCCTCTCCTTTCTTTTTTGGAGAGAGTTTTGCTATAGGGAGTGTGCACTTGCCAGGAAGACAGAGAAAGACAGAATTCAAGAAATCACTCCTCAAAAAAAAAAAAGAAATAAAAAAAAAAAGAAATCACCCCTCCAGGGGTGACGGCCACGCCATAATCCCATCTCCTCCATTCTCCTCTAGGGATCCTGGGCATGCACGCACATGCGCCCAGTGTGAGTTTAAGCCACCAGGTCCGGGACTCAAACTGCGGTCGACTACAAGGGAGCCCAGCGATATAGCTGTTATGCCAACTGCTGGTCCCAAAGTCCTTTTCTTATAGATGAAGAAACTAGTGTTGTTAGGTGACTTAGACAAAATCATGAAACTTTAATAGCAAAGCAGTTCTCCTGACATTTTTTGGATAAGCCATAGCTACCTCCTGAGGTACTATAAATATTGAGTAACTGTGATTTATATGAGTGCTTGAAGAAGGGGAAGACTTTGTAGGATTACTCAGCAACTCAAAATGAGGATTTTTTTTTTTTTTTTCTGATTGAGTATACATGACTGGCCCCAAGGCCTGGTGGTTAAGGGAAGTGGATCCCATATGGCCAATTGTAGTTTGAATTCTGGCCCTTGGGGCTTGAAAAACATGCCACATGTGTACATCCAAAATCTTGACAGGGTAGTGAAATGTAGGAGAAGGGATTGTGGCATGACCACCTCCCATTGGGAGGGTACTTTCTCCCTCTCCCTCACTCTCTTTCTGATGAGAATGTACTCCACAGCAAATTAAACAAAAAACAAAACAACCCACATGGGATTATCCAAATTTCTGTACGACTCTTTAAAAGCTCATAAAACTGCACCAATAACAAGTTTTCTTTTTATTCAGCTATCAAGAAGAACTTCGAAGTGAAATATTGGAAGAGTCAAATAAGCTGGTAAATGAGGCCTATAAAATGAATTTCAGATTTAAGGAAACGAGCATAACAAAACTGAAATGCTGTTAATCCTCAAAACTAAATCCTCTGTCTTCTGGCTAAATAACTGAGACAGCCTATGAAATTTTCAGAATAACTCCAAGTATATTTCTAAAATATTATCAAGCATATACTGCCTTTAAAATAGCTAATTCAGATAATAAATGTTTTACAAGCCACCAGGGCCAAGATTCAAACCTTACAGTTGTATAGGATCTAGCTACCTTAACCATCAAGCCATGGAGCTGGCGCTTTTAGCAAATATTAATTGCTTACAATTGTGCTATGGACTGTGAACAATTCAAAGGAATTTAAGAGGTGATTACTGAACCTAATTAGAGAGAAAGATACATGAATAACCAGAGGGCAACCAGACAAAATATGATCCAGACAAGGAAGTTTTGGGAGGTGATGGATACGTTTAGTACTTTGTAGTGATAATACCATAGGGGTGTGTGTGTGTGTATGTATGTGTATGCATATATATATGCATACACATACATACACACACCCCTATGGTATATAAACATACACACACACACACACACACACACACACATATATATGTGTGTGTGTATATATCCCTGTGTGTGTGTATATATATATGTGTGTGTGTGTGTGTGTGTAAACGGTCTTCAAAAATTCATTAAAAATGTATATTATTAAAAATTATGGGTTTAAACATTTTTTGCACCCAAATAGACTGTACTTTAATTTCATTTTTTTCACAAACTTTTTGAAGTCCCATTGTTTGTCCAAACTCATCAAAATACATACATTAAGTATATGTAATTTCCTGTATATCAATTATATCCCAATAAAACTCCAAAAATTTTGAATCAGAAAGGCAAAAATCTATGAAGTATTTGTTTAACATCATTCAGAAAGGTCCTGAATCTGATAGGTATAAAATATCAGGTTACTACAAGCACGTGTATTTTATTGTAAAGTAGGTTTACCCATACTTTAAGTGAAATATCTCACAACTAACCAAGCTCCAGATCATTATCTGCTTCTGATTCTAGAATCATTAAGCAGTCTCCTACATAATAATTCTTCCAAAAGTATCATTTATTTAAAGGGAAGGGGATAGGTGACTCAAATATTCTGGTCACTGGGTTTCAGGTCAGCCTCATGTGAAAGTCTCTCAGACACTAATCATCTATGACTATACTGAGACAGTTCAGTATCTGGCCTACAATGGACAGTACCCCTATCAGTTCGCTAGCCCAAAGCTGTAGTAGTTAGGAGAACTATAATAAAACACCAGGCTATTCAAAGAGCCCCCTAGGAAGGACAGAAGAAACTAGACAGCCATTCTAGAACAACAACATGTACACTACAGAGGTACAACATAAAAACAAAAAGCATGGTTCTTCCTTTCTTCAAAAACCACCTGATTTTCCAAACTACTTATAAAATTCAATCTTACTATGCCTGGCCTCAGTATATAGGCAATTCTCTATTCTAGAGCACAAATTGTTCATAATTTCTGACAGCTGATAGAAACAACACTTTATGCTCGACAATTTAAAGACTGAAACATAAAGCCAAATAGTTAAAGGATAATTTTTACCACCCACATAAATAATCAAGAAAGCTTTTAACCACAATGCTTTAACACAATGTAGATGCTGAAAGAATAAATCATATGCTTAAAGATAATACAATCATACCTCTTTTTTAAAAAAATTATCATTCAGAAGAGGAAGGCAAAAACTCACTATACTGGGGACCAGCATATGGGGTAATGGTTATGTTGCTGGATTCCCATGCAGTTGAGTATGGTTTGAACACCAGACCTTACAGCTTAAAGCTCATGCTAAGCGCATGTGTGTGAGTGCCTAAAATCCCAAGAGGAGAATGGAGGAAAAGGGATTGTGATGTGGCCATCCTCCCTCGGGGTGATTTCTTGCTTTCTGTCTCTGTCTCTCTAGCGAGTGTATGCACCCTACAGCAAAAATCTCTATATTAAAAAAAAAAAATAACCAACCAACCCCTCCTCCCCAACACACACAATACTGACAACTGTATATTGTAATCAAAGTGTTAATGTTGTCTTTTTTTTTTTTTGGAGAGGTTTTCGCTATAGGGCTCGTGCGCTCGCCAGACAGACAGAGAGAGACAGAGAGACAGAAAGAGAGAAATCACCCTCCAGGGAGGAAGGCCACGCCGCAATCTCTTCTCCTCCATTTTCCTCTTGGGATCTTAGGCACACACGCCTATGCGCCTGGCGTGAGTTTTAAGCCACCGGGTCCAGGACATGAACCGCCATCCACTACGTGGGAGTCCAGTGACATAGCCATTACACTAACTGCTGGTCCCAATGTTGCCATCTTAATTATGA